TTTCTCTCTCTTGTTTTTTCGCTCGGCTCCAAAGCGAAGCCGGCAACAAGGGGACTTGTTCACTTTTCCTTTTCCACCCGCCACTTTTTTTTTCCACGTGGTTAGACCGCGAGCGCGCAGCAAGCAAGCAAGCCCCTATTTCGATAGGGGGAAGGGACGGTGTCCCGAGGATAGACACTCTTTTCCCTGTCCCTCTCTTCTCTTTTCTTCTCTTTCAAAATTGATTGCGAAATCGATGTGCGGGAAGAAACCCGTACGATTCCGGTGTTTCTCGCGACGAGAAGATCGATGGAGATGCGAGACGAGAGTTTTTCTCTTCCTCCTCCAATTTTGTTGCAGGTGGCATGGCTGCGCGTGGATACCCAAACGATATTGACGATAGCCAGTCACGTTATCACGAAGAACCATCGAATAGCAGTGTCTCACAGCGATCACCGAACGTGGTTCCTTCATATACGAGAGGTGAAAGAATCCGACAGGGGATGGTACATGTGCCAGATTAACACGGATCCGATGAAGAGTCAAACCGGCTACCTCGAGGTTGTGGGTGAGCTCTCCTTAATTTGATTGAATATTACTACTATTCTATAATTTTATATTAATTTTTTAATCGAAGAAGAAACTCGAATGGCACGAGATGAGAAATCAAAATTTTACAAATTCGAATGAATTCCTTTCGATTCCATTTGTTACCGATTTTGGAGAAAGGGATATCTTGAACCGAAGATAATTTCATTTATCCAATGTTTTTATCGTTCCTTTTATCCTATTCGTTTTCTACCTGTTTTCTTTTTTCTTTTTTCACATAGGAAACTTTTATATCAACAAATATGGAAACGGTAATGAACAATAGGAGGAATTAATTAACGCGCGTATTATTATTCGTTAAGGTACAAGTTTATAGGAGGAAGTTGCGGCTCGTTTGTTCACTCTCCCGGATGAGCTTCTAATATGGAGGCGTGTATCGATTAGCAGATCGAAAGGAGAGGAGAGGACGGTACCGTGCACTTATCAGTAGTATCCGGAGCGGCTATTATAACGATTATGTCACGTGAACGTTGGTGAGCGATATGCGGATGTAATTCGCAATATCTTAATCAAGTCTGACAAGCCGTGAGAATCTGATCCTGTATCCAACCTCTATATCCTTCATCTCTTTGCAAGAGGAGAGGATGATTTGTCGCATCCCCCTGCTTCCATCATCAACGCGCTTCGATAATTTCACGTTCGACGTGACGATATTTTCGCTTCCTTTTTTTTCTTTTTAATTAATTTTCAAACAATTTATCTCTCCTCAACGGGGATGATCCCTCTTTGTAACCTGTTGCACCCGATATCACATTTTCATTTTCATTTTTTATACATTATTGGAAATTTCATTTGCAAAGGGGGGAAGAGGGGGATAAATTATTCAAAAGAAATTGGAACCTCTGTTGTCTTTCTAACCTCGTTTATTATGCATATTTCAAAAGACTGGATTATCGAAAACTTATATTGAAAAGGAGACGTTTTCTTCAAATTTTGCTCCGTAGACAGGGAGAAAATTTAAATTTTAATATTTCCAGGAGAAATATTGAAAGTTATTAACCCCAAATTTTAAATTAGGGGGCAAGGAAGTTAAATTTTCGAGCCTCGCATAAAACTTGTCATCGTTGTATATATAGATCGACGATGAACGAATCCGGTTAAGTTAAACGAGCATCGTGTTGATGCCGTATCGCAATAATCGTCGTCAAAGATCGCGGGGCTTCATAGCAAGTTTAAACTGGACGACTATATACACGAAAGTCCTCCTCCTCCTCCTCCTCCTCCTTCTCCTCCTTTCCCCCCGCGCGTCTACTTAATTTGCGAGGCATTAACCTTATTATTATGGAGCAATATAGTCGCGAGTTTGCGAGAAAACGTTGTGTAGGGGTGGTTGCACGCGAGCAATCTTTACAGCCCTTCTCGGAAATGAAACCTCGTGTATGCCCTTTCACCGCCCCACGCCCACCCTTCTTCACCCCGTGTTTCATTCTTTTAATTCCCTTAACCCTCGTGCCACCCCGCCTCCCTTCCCTTCCTGTTCCATTTTTACCGCGCCAACCCCCCTAGGAATCGACCGATTCGATTAGCTAAAAAGTTTCGAAAAGTTGTCTCGATGCGGGAAAAGTGCAAAATAGAAGGGAAAGGAGGAGGGAATGAAACGCGTTTATGGAAAAAATTCGTTCGTTTTTTCATTTTTTTAACACATACTCGAGGTGTGTAATCGAGGAAGAATTAACGTGTGAGGAAGAGAGGCTGGAATTAATATTTGAGATTTGATTGATACGGTTTAGTATGATTGAGATTGAGATTGAGATTTGTTGAATTTTCTTTTTTTCTTTCTCGTATCGAGTTTGGGTTACAGATTATATATTTTCTATACGGGATGGGGTGTTTTTTATCCTACCCGACGATAAGTCGGTTATTAATTATTTTAATAAACCCATTTTAAACCCTGGGAATTATTTTTAGGTAGTAATAATAATTTTTCGAGCTGTTTAAAATTTCTGCGATAATTAAATTGGCCATTTTATTACAATTTAATACGATTACTCGTTATAAAAATTTCTCTCGGGTTAATTATATTTTTTTTTATTTTTTTTTTTTTTTTTTTTTTTTTTTTTTTTTTTTTTTTAGGAGGTTTAATTTAATTATTCGTGAAAATATTGAGTAACGAATACGTAATTTTCTCTTTTATTCGCGTATTATTATTATTATTATTCCCTTCTTCGACGTGTTTATCTTCGTCTTCCATTTTGATCGATTCAAACGTTTCGTTTCGTTGTTATCTTTCGTCTTTTTAAAACAATAGAATTGTAGAAGAGAGATTCTTCGATTTTTCATTTTCCATTTTCTCCACAACGGACAAACACTCGTTCGAAACAAATTCTAATATCGAAGAGTCGTAAATATTAATACAACTATTTTTCCATTTTTCGAAGATTCGACCATGAATTCGTGCGTTGTACGAGGGATTCGTGAGGACGCAGCGTCAACCCTCCCCCCCCTCCTCGTTTTGCTCGTAAGCAGAACTTCGATAGGATCCAATAATTGGAAACGTGAAAACATTTTCCGCCGAGTCATCGAATTATAGACGCTCGCTAGTAGACGCACTTTAATTAAACGCGATTAAGTTAAATCTGCCATCATAGGCGCACATCATTCTCGAACCGTTGTCGATCGGAATTAAAGAATTATAGGATCTTATGATAAACCCTTTCGATCGATACCCTTTTCCTCTTTGAATTGTGATCTTTTATGAAAATTCCTTTTCAACCGATTCCCATCAAGAATCATTTTATAACGATATGCGTTGATCATTTCTTCAGGATTCATCTTTGGTTATTGGAAAATTCTCCAATGATGAAACAAATATTGTTTATCACTCGTTGGCATTTTACCTCGTCGGTTCGAAAAGTTGGAAGAACGCTCTCTTTTAGATTCCGTTGCTTCCATTGGCATCGATCATCCTGTATATAAAAGTGTGCTCGCGCTTTTCATGAATAAGGAATGTCTCGATGCATCAAGTTGTGCAGAGTTCAATGGGAATGCGAAAGGAAATTTGCACGGAAATTTTCGAGAATTATCGTTATCTCGGTTTAAACGGAAGTCTAAAAAAAATCGTCGCGTCTTTGGAATAATTCGAACGAGATCAGCTTCGAGAGAATATATATCGTTTAAAATTTAGAAATCAATTTATCACGGGGAGAGATCAAATTCTGACAATGTACCCCGATGTATTCGAAAAGATATTAACACGAACGTCAATCAATTCTTGAAAATCATAAACATATTTTGCTTGGGGAGAAAATTGAATTCAAGGCTTGAAACGCGTTAATTTGATGTTATCAATGGACAGTCCTCCCCGTTTATTTAAAAGATAACGCGACACCGTGTTATTTCGGATTCTCTATTCGCGATGTTGCCTCTCATTTCGCGTACGAATGTTTAATATGATTTAAAAAAAGCACTGGAACTAGGTTAAAATTAATACGAGAGAAAGAGAGAGAGAGAGAGAGAAAGAAAGAGAGGAAATATAAGCGGGCAGAATAAGTTTTGATAAAGTGCGAACGCGAAAAATACGTGTATCGCGGTACACGTATATAATCGATATTTATACAATTCTATTCACGCGTTGACGTAAAAATAATTTTTATCATAAACAGAAAATTCCAACGTGAAATTTATTGTATCGCGAATAACGGGAGGAACGATATATATACCCGTAAATATTTTTTTTTCCCCTTCTTTCCTCCTCCTCCTCCCAATTTTCGTAGTAAAACGGGAGAATTATGAAAAAAAAAAAAAACCTTGGAAACAAAAGCGAAAGAAAGTTCTTTTTCGAATAAACACGTAAACGTGTGTGTGTGCACGAGGAAAATAAAATAATTACTTTGACACGTGTTACACTTTTTTCTTTTTTTAAAAAAAAAAAACGCGAAACAAAAAAAAAACGAGCAAATTTATCAAAGCGCGCGAATTAAATGACAAAAACCGATCGGAAACGGGATAAAATTTATTCCGGGTATCGAGCGCGAGAAATATTTGTTGAAAAAAAGAAAAAAATAAATAAATAAATAAATAAATAAATAAAATAAACACGAGTGTTAAAGCGTTTTACGATCGTTTGGAGCAACTTAAAAAAAAAGGGAAGGGGGGAAAAAAAAAAAAGGGAACTCGCTCGGTCAACGGAAAACCGAGAACCAATCCCGTTTAACCCGAAAACCGATTTTCTCCCCGTTAATGTAAATGACTTACTCTCCCCGTTCATTGCGTGTAATGAGTTGCAGCGAAACGTTACGAATGTGGTTTTAACCGCCGCTCAGGGGCATTTAAATTGAACTTCCCCCCCTCTGAAAATGGATGCGACGAGACGTCCAGTCGCTCCCTTCGGAGGGATCACTGACCTAAATTTGCCCCACCTTATTATCTGCCCGCGAGCTGAAATTTTTTAACTTTTTTTTCGAAGATTAATTAATTCGACCAGATCTTTATTTGTATATATATATATCTTTAAAAGAGATTCCTCGAATCGAATCGAATGTTTAACGAAGCGGTTTGTTCGGGACATCTTATGCAAATTGCCCGTCGAGACTTGTTTCGAGACTTGTTTCTTCCCCTCGGACGAGTGGCTGCGTCGAGAATGAAATACGCGCACTTGCGAAGAACTCTATGAATTATGCGTATGTTCTTATAATTGGTTATTTTTAATTGGCGTCGATTGGTGGATAATTTAAAAAGGAAAGGAGGGAATCGAGGAAACAAGAAAAGGAAGGAAAAAAGAAATCTTGCAAGGATTCGCGAATGTTAATACGATTCTCTTCCACTTCCCCCCTCTGGACGGTGTAGATTAAAAGAAGGGAGAAAGAAGGAAAAAAGGTTCACGTGTTGAACGAAGGAAGTCCACAAAGGGAAGAAGATTTTCAATTCGCCCGGCATTGTGAAGCGAAGATCAATTATGGCGCTATTATTAGCAAGTCGAGTAATTAAACTCGGTATTATTCTCGTACCCCAACTAATATC